TTTGACTGATATTTCTGGAATGATGGAATCATCTCATTTCAGCTCAAACATCAGACTGTCTTCCTGGTTGTAGGAATATTCTTGGAAATCCTGTAAATTGTGGACAGCAAGTAGAGAAAAGATACAGGCCACAGAAATTAAATGCTTTTGAAAACTCCTTGGTATATATCACCAACAAAAAAGTGAAGTAGAAAATAAAACAAAAATTCATTGGACAATATGAAAACCTAATCAGTGAAGAGATGAGAATAGTTTGAATGTATGTCACAATCAACAGGGTATGCTAAGACAATCCTGCAAGGCATGGTGTAAATGGGAAAATGTATCAGAATGAGCAACATAAGACTCTGAACAGAGAGACAGATACAAGGATATGGCTACCATATCATTTGTGGCGCATCCATGGTCAGCCAGAAAGACTTTGTATCGAGATAGATAGCCAATTGCCATATAATCTGGGGTACCCCTATGGTCAGCTAGACTAGAGACTACAATGAATTGATACTTTCATAGTCCAGTGGTCAGTCTTGTAAGCTGGAGAGCATGATTTAATTCCTAACCAGGTTCTTTCAAATCTTCAAATGAGAATCACGAGATGTGACATGTTTTCAATTAACATATTGCACCAATCTTGCTTTAATGAGAAAAAGAAATTCTTCAAAGATTTAGAACTATTTCTGGGGGGTGAGTGGCATGTTCTGCCTATCTCATTCCCACTTCTTGGAAATTTTTTCTTTTTTTCATTTTGCAAATATGATTAAGAGTTTTGTTTCTCTCTTTACAGGAATGCATTAGTGATATTATGGGAGATTTAATTGATGAAGTTACTTTAGGCGTATGCTTTGAAGTCCATCGTTCCGCTAAAATAGGAACCTTGTTCCTTGGTGACACAGACCCGTGGTAAGAAATACTTCAAACACTTTGTTGCTGATTTTTTTTCTCTCTATTTTCTAGATTTTCCCTGTCACTTTCAAGAAATTTAATTTTAAAGTTATTTCAAATTTGATCACTTCTTATCAGTGATAATGAACTAGTTTTAATATATTTGAAAACTCAGTATGTGCAAATATATAAATGCTGTAGTCATTATTTTCTGCTAAAGTTTTTATAATATATGTAATATATATAGATTTAATATGCCAGTTAATAAAATTTGTGGAATAAAAAGCCAACAAAATGATAACAATATTGGCAACAAAATTGATGATATTTATTATATATTAGCCTTTTGACTAAATTGAAACACAAAGAGAAAGATTTTAAAGTTGGAATTTTCAGACTCACCTGTGTCCTTTTTCAATGATACGAGGAATAAACAAAGAAGTGGGACTTCCTCTTCTGAGGAATGTTGTTGGTTAGAGGGCTCCCTGTGGAAATTATACTCAAGTAAACCCAAATCCTTGTTTAATCCTTCAATATGTGATTTACTCAGTATATTCCTCAAACTTTATTAACCAGTTTATTAAATCTACATGGATCATCTTTCGTTTTAATTATATATATATATATATATATGAGAGAAAAATCTTTCTATGTTGTTTAGATTGGGCTGATTTTTTTGTTTTTATCATTTTACTCTCATATAGCAAATAAATGCCTCCTTCCCTCACTTGACAAGCATGCTTTCTGAATTTGGATTGCTTATCAGATTGGATAACGCAGTTGGTCTCATTTATTTATTGAAACAATTATGTATAATTAATAGCTTGTAAAATTTAGGTTTATTCTACTGTAAATATTTATTAAAGTTACATGGTTTTAACCTGCTCCATTCAACTGTTTTGAACATTTTTCATGTTTGTTATTCAATATGTACAAATAACATTTTATTTAAACACACCACTCAAAAACAAAATACACGTCTTTTTCTCTGTATCAGTGTTTATCTACTGTGATCTGATTTCTAACGATTAATATTTGATTTTTTTTTTTTTTTTTTTTTTGCTTTCCCATTGAAGAAATTATAAATCCAGCTCCAGGTTTTTACATTAACCAAAGGGAGTTAATCACTAAAATACTTACTTCCCTTACCAAATAAGTTATTTTACTTTTTAGCGTTCTTTTTTTTTTTTTAAAGTGATAATTTTTCTTACACTTGCCTTTCTTCTCTAAAGGAACAAAGCATCTAAGCCAGCGGTCGGCAACCCCCGGCCCATATTCGCCCCTTGAAGGGTTTTTGTCCTGCCCGCCAACGTAACATGTGGACACTAATTATCTAATTAATTTGCAGAGCAAGTGGCAGAAAAATATCAGTTGGAATTAACTGATTTACAATGCAACAAATTTTCTAAATCAAAATTTAATTCTGAATCCACTGCTTGCTTTTACTAGAATTAATATTTTTTGCCAGTGGAAAATATAAAAGCCTATTGAATAATGTAGAAATGATGGTATCTTTATTTGGAAGTACATATGCTTGTGAACAAATTTTTCCGAAAATGAAATAAAAGTCATTTAAGAACAAGCTTGGGTGATGACCACCTGAATGATGTTTTGCTCCTGTCCTTGATAAATATTTCACCTGATGTGGAGAAGTTATCGAACAATAAACAGGAACAAGTGTCTCATTAAATAATTTGCCATTTCTAACTGTATTTTATTTGTGGTCTCAAATTGAGGAATTGGAGAGTCGAGTTCAAATTCTAGTCAAATCCATTACATTCACTTACATGCTAATACCCTTGCTTGGTAAAGGTATAAATCCTCTTCTTCTCCCACAGCTATGGGTAAATAGCAGGACAGGCTGAGTTTTATAGCCTTGGATGACAACTGGTCTACCGCAGAAAGAATTGGCAACCTACTGTGGGGAAAAAAATCTGTCTCTTCAGTCATGTTTCGAAAGATACATGATCGCCTAAGCATGTATCACGCATAACACATAAATAAATGAAGAAATTTTCATTTTTTGTTCGATTGTGTTAGTTGTTATCCTCTTATTCCTGCAGTAAAATAAGGAACCTTGTTTAAATAATAATAACATTAAATTTATTGTTTTTTCATTAAATGTCCAGACTTCTGGCTGGAGCGGTCTGAGGTCAAAACGATTTATTATAGCACATTTGATATCATGGCCCTTGTCCAAGACACTGCATAACTTTCTGGCCTGCTCACTCCAAAAGGTTGCTGACCCCTGATCTAAGCATTGTCCAAGACTATATGACTTTTATGATTATCACTCCTTGCTCCTATGTACATAAGTACTAGATTTACTACTTTATTATAGCTTGAAAATGTGTGTGTGTTTTTTTTTTCTTGAGTAATTCTATTTAATTAGCCTTGATTGAATTAGTAATTTAGATAGGACATCAGACCTTACACACAACTAAGCTAAGTTTAAATGTCTGTGAAGCCGTAGTAATACTTGTATGTTTCAATGTTACAACTTTTACAAGGATTTTGGTAGGTATTTCAATTTCCATTCAGATATGAATCCATTGAATTTTTTTTTTTTTGAATTTTTTTTTTTTTTTTTTATGTATTTGATAATTCTCAGTGTTCAGTTCATTTTCTTTTTTCTTTAGGTCCCACAAAGAACATGGTAAGTATCAACCAATTATTTTTGTTTTGGACGAGGATTTTTCTTTTGTTTCTGCTATAACCATGAAAGTAAAATTTCTCAAAGGCTGGCTAAATTTTTAAGATTGATAAATGTACAGATAAGGCATATAAATCTGTTTAAACAATTACCTTTTGAATTTATTGCTTATACATATATTATTTAAAAAATATTCTTATTCTCATGTCCAGACATTTATATGCACATTTATTCTTCCTTGGGAAGTCAGTTTTTGCTTTACTTCTGTCTGCATCTCTTTGCAGAAATTGTTTACAAAGCAGGAGTTGATGTATTTGGTCAGGTACCAACTAAGAAACAATTTGAATGTACATGTCCCAACTGTCAGCGCCACCTGGCTGCCTCTAGATTTGCTCCTCACTTAGAGAAATGTATGGGAATGGGTAGGAACAGTTCGAGAATTGCAAGCAAAAGGTTTGTTTTTTTTTCTTTCTTAACACCTTCATTCATACATGACATTTTTGATTCCTCATTTTTGAAACAATGTAAGGTTTATTCTCAAAAATCTTGTTGTCTCTCACACTCTGAAAGCTCATCCCATCAAATTCACAGTGCTGTGAACTGAACAGATGTTTCTAATTGATTTCTTTCTCAGTTTGATGATTTAGGTTATCTCCATTTTCCTCTGCTGCATGTCTTTTACCTCGACTGCACCCCTTTTCCCTCCACTCTACTCCTCCCGCGCCCCCTTTTCCCTCCACTCTACTCCTCCCGCTCCCCCTTTTCCCTCCACTCCTCCTGCTCCCCTTTTCCCTCTACTCCTCCCGCTCTCCCTTTTCCCTCTACTCCTCCCGTGCCCCCCTTTTCCCTCCGCTCCTCCTGTGCCCCCTTTTCCCTCCGCTCCTCCCGCGCCCCCCTTTTCCCTCCACCCTCCTGCGCCCTTTTCCCTCCACTCTGCTCCTCCCATGCCCCTTTTTCTCCACTCCTCCCGTGCCCCCCTTTTCCACCACTCTGCTCCTCCTGCGCCCCCCTTTTTCCCTCCACTCTTCTCCTTCCGTGCCCCCTTTTCCCTTCCCTCCCCCTCCTGCTTGCTCTCTTTCTTTCTTCTGCTCTCTCTCTCTCTCTCGCTTCATCTTCCACCTCCTCACTCTGTTACCGTATCTTCTTCTGAAGTAACTTAATGATTTGTTGAATGTATATTGAGAGAAGTCTTCTGCAAACCTGTTGAAATGTGTGACAAAGATAATTGGAGAGAAAAATGGTGTTTGGCTATTTAATCTTAGTATTTTCAAAAGTAATTCATGTACTCACCTTGTGCCTGACTTTAATATTTTGTAATGTTTCATGCAATCAATCAAGATGAAGTGACTCTGCATTAATAGAATAAATATTGCAGTGAAATTGTCACTTTGATAATCAGCTTGTCTTTTCACCATCTACAGGATAGCCACGTCGACTCTTAAAAGAGACAGTGATGAAAGTTTAGATGATGACAACGACAACGATTGGACTTACCCAGAAAAAAAGAGTGAGTACTGCTACTGATTTTGTTTCTGAAAAAAAAAAAGAAAAAAAATTGTTTTACTTTTAGTCATCATATCACATCATGTCACATAATAGTATATATATATATATATATATATATATATATCCTGCCAGTTTAAATTGCTCAGGGAGAAAAGGAGCTGAAGTGTCCTTTGGAAATGCCAGATAGGTAAGACTAATTAATATAGAATAAAACAAAGTTTGTTTCTATCATAATTCCAAAATAAGTGTTTTTATTTTTTATATAATATAATATATATATATATATATATATATATACACTCACCAATAGATTTTGTTACACATTTCTCAATCCCCCCCCATCTACAAAATAAAGGACCTAATTTTTTTTTTTTCACAAGTCATTTCAAGCCTTAAATCCCCTTCACTTTTGAGTAGCATTTTGTTTGTGTATAATCTAATATACAAGGGGTTGGTTGTAAAGTTCTCAGCCCAACCAAGGAGCCCTTCCAAAATAAAAATCTGGTGTTTGACCAGATTTTGGAAAGTGGGCTCGACTGAGAACTTTCTAGCATCATCTAATCTCATAAGACACCAAGTCTATTTGTAAATTTATTTTGTTTATCTTTAACTTTTTACTGTACTAGAGTTATCTCCCTGCATTGATGATACCAAATCACAGTGTTTTTGTTATGACAACTGTAGGCATTTTGGAGATGTTTGAGACTGGGAAGTGAAAGGCCAAACTCTGATATGTTTTTTTTTGTTTTTGTTTTTTAATGCCATTTCGGTAAGTCTTACAAAATAGTTTGCCCATGCATGACGGATTTTGTTAAGTCCTTAAGTTTTAAATATATAACTATACATAGTTATTTCTCTCTGCCGAACAGTGAGGGCGGCATCTGTGCACTCTGTATAACTTTGTATTTGCAAGTCGATTTTATGCTGCTCAAGCAAATGAATGTTAGCCTAGTGGATATGTAATTTACCTGCTTACACCTTCAGAATTCATTTGTTGTTTTATGTATGTTTCCTTTCTGAGAGCAAAAAGTTCTAGACAAGGAATATATAGGCTCCTTGTATAGATAGATATTTCTACATTATACCCTGGAACAAAATATACACCCATATCCAAACAGCTGAGTACATGAGACAATAGAGTACATGAGACAATAGATACAATTGTAGCATGACAATTACAAAATACTGTCACATTATAATCTCAAGAGACAGATGTGGAATCTCAGAGAAAGCAGCAATAATGAGAGATTAGACTCCAGCTGATAATGGAGAAAGAAGGAAAACTAGGGAACAAACAAGACATAGACCAGCAACTGGAGAACTACAGTAGGATTTTTTTTTTAAAAATGACAAGAATGGCTATCAAATTTACATAAATAATGTGTCAAGTACAGGTTGAGTATATCCTTTATCCAAAATTCCGAAATCGGAAAACCTTCAAAATCTGAAAGTTTTTCAGGTGCTGACATGAATTGCCACAATTGAAAATTTCCTGAAAACACTGGGAAGGTTCCTAGGTGATAGGCAGCTGTTTTAAGTGTCCTTATCTGCTCTGGCTTGGGGTTTCCCAGCCCAGCTATGTAGCCTCAGTTGGCACCGATTTTTTGTTAGCAGTGGTCACAGCAACACCTTCGTTTGTGGATTACTTACCAGGTGTTTTGTGCTCAGTAAAGATATTATTAAAAAAAAGTCCTGCATTTATATATATTTTTGTAAGTAGTGATCATGTTTTTTTTTGGCGAGGGGTTGTACACTTACAGAAAGTACGAAACCTTATTTTTACATGAAAATTTGTGAAATCTGTGTGAGCATTACATTACATCATTACCTATATGTACACAAAATTTATTAAATTTAATATAAAAATTCTTTCAGGGTGTGTGTGTGTGTGTATAAATCTGTGTTATGAAATGTAAAGGGATATCATGTTTATGCGTGGGTTCCATTCCCAAGCTGCCCCATTTTATAGATGTTATATCCAAATTAATTAGCCTGTATTCCAAAATAATAATAATAATAATAAAAAATCGGAAAACCAAAGCGCTTCCAGTTCCAAGAATTTTAGATAAATGATTCTCAACCTGTAATACTTCTGTTTGTAATTTTATGCTGTACTGGAATTATCTCCCTTCCACCGGCAATGCTTGATGGCAGTATTTTCTTATGAGTATGACAGACAGTTCCAAAATGTTTATAAAGCCCAGAGATAGGGGGTTGGGGAGAAAAATGACTCTGGGTACAACAATAATAACTAGAAAAATGTATTTATTGTCTTGCATGTGAAAACTTAAGTTTTCATCCCTGCATTAGTCACTTTGGATTTCCAAAAATGGATTGTTGCCTGGGATGTTTGCAGAGCCCAGTACAAAAATGCTGATAGTGTTACAATTATGTAAAATATTGTCATGTTGCTGAAAAAATAACATAACAGGCAATCTCCGTTTCAATAGACATTAAATCAAAACTTGAACTGAAGATATAACTATTCATTGGAACAAAAATTATAATAAATTTGTTGCATAAACGTAAGTTGTAAATTGTAGGTTAAACACACCAATTCAATAATAGAGAAATGTTTTATTCATCAAGAATAGCCACAATATATGAAGTTATTACATTAGCTAAACTCATAATTACAGGATTGAATGATAAATAATAATACATATATATATATATATATATATATATATATATATATATATATATATATATATGTAAGCAAATGTAAATGGATATAGATCCGACAGAATGAAGAAAATTTGGAAAAAACAAACAAAAATCCTTAAAAAAATTATATTTGTTTTAAAATGAATGAAAAATATGGACGTCTGACGTTTCGGTTTAATAAACCTTTTTTCAAGACAATATTCATTAAAATACAATTCAGTTCAATTTGACAAAGACGATGGACATAAACAACAAGTCTTATCCAAAACAGATAACTGAAAATTTTTAAAATGATCAGCTTTCCGTTTAGCATGGTCACATTGTATGTCCATCATCTTTGTCAAATTGAACTGAATTGTATTTTAATGAATATTGTCTTGAAAAAGGTTTATTAAACCCAAACGTCAGACATCGACATTTCATTCATTTTAAACAACATAATTGCATTTAAGGATTTTTGTTTGTTTTTACCAAATTTTTCTTTATATATATATATATATATATATATATATGCACATTTCATTGAATACAACAGACAAGGTGCTTTGATTTAGTTTTTTCTACAATTTCTCATGTGTTCTAATAATTTTTTTCTTTTCAGATGATAAATTATATAATGACTGTCTGAATGTCCTTTTTCTCTGAGCGTTTTCGGTTATACATTTAGCCATTTTCAAGGATGAAATATTTTAACTGTTAAATAAGTTTGTTGCATGTATGTACATATACATATTGAAAATGGCTAAATGTATAGCCGAAAGTGCTCGGAGAAAAAGAACATTCGGACACTTTTTATATAACTTATCATCTGAAAAGAAAAACATTATTAGAACACTTGAGAAATTGTATAAAAAACTAAATCAAAGCACCTTGTCTGTCGTATTCAATGAAAGAAGGATTGCTGCCAAAATAGTCAAAATATATATATATATATATATATATATATATATATATGATGTGTTGCTGGTTTCCCTGAAAACTTCCTGTTTAAAAGACACCGCAAGCCTCATGTATATTTATGTTATGTAGTCGATACTTTTTAATCTTTGATTCCAGTGAAGATGCAGAAGCATTCCACCGCAGTTCCCTTTAGTTCGCTATGGAGTTAGAGGTAGAGATTGTGTGATAGTGTGTTGCCTTTTGTTTGGTCGTACTGGTTGAACTGAAGGAAGGATCGTTCATTATCAGTGTTTACCGAAAGCCTACTTTCGCAAGTCTGTACACCAACTGGAATTCTTTCATCCCCAAGTTCTATAAGATAAACCTGATTTCTACCTTAGTCCACTGCATGTTGATAACATGGTTTCCTTGCAGATTTGACCAAGAAATAGGATATTTATAGCATTTTCAGTGACAATGGATATGCTGAGAATGTCATCAAGCACATGATTGAATACAAAATTAAATGCTTCAAGGCTCTGGTAGTTTTTTGTCCTGCCCTGTGTCTCATATATATGAAATTACATTATTATTTGGCTGGGCAGGAAAAGTCAGATAATACCCAACAGTGTCAGCCTGTGTTATATCATGTTTTTTGGCAGTTAGGTTAAATGTTGTCTTTGGAACTAATCTGGTTTTCCCTTCATTTATCAAAGATGGTTTGTCCTACCTTGAAAGTAGTTCTATTGTCTGTAAATTTAAATGTCAGTGTGAGGCCGACTATGTAGAACAAACCAACCAACGACTCGAAACCTGGATTGGACAACATGTTCCTGTGAATATAAGACAGGGTATTTCTAATCATAGTATGTGTGATGCCCAGTCTGTTCATGACTCTGCTATTGGCCAACATTTATTGGATAATCCAGATTGTGCAGCAGTATATAGGAACAGTTCATTCACTGTTTTGTGCATATCTCAGTCTGCTCAACAGTTGCGTTTATTAGAAGCCGTCTACATTAAGTTACATCAACCATCTCTGCAGACAGAAAGAACATTTTGTTCACTCTCTGTCTTTTAGGAAGCATGATTCTTCAATTTTATACTCACTTGGAACCATTTACATCAGTCTTTTTGCTTGTATATTCTCCATTTTATTTTTTCTCACCCACACTCTCGTTTTATTGATAAATTTGTATTTTAGTCATGGTTCCTTTTCTCTTCCTCATATTTTCTTTGTGTTTTCTTGGTCATTTAATATTTACCAACATATTCTTCTGATGCAATGTCGCTCAAAAGGGATCTCTTAAGAAAGAAGAATGCTTTCCTGCATTTTTTATATATATATATATATATATATATATATATATATATATATATATATATATATATATATAATGTGTGCATTATAAGTAGACATTGAAGTCAAACAAAACCATCCTTGATAATGGGCAA